CTATGTCTGCTACGGCCCAGTTCGCCGTCAATTATTACACACTAGCGGCCATGAGCGGGAGTGCCGTAATACAGCGATGATATTTGTTCGAATGTAATGCTCAAATCCAATATTGTATGCAATAAAATGAAAGATGTTATTTTTGTTTTGCGATTTAAGACAGATGATGCCTTTACTTACCGCGCCTATTAACAGGAATTATTGTAATCATAAAAAAATCTGCTTTAGGTTGCTGTCAGGCCATGCACAAAGAGCCTTGAATATTCTCGGAAATCGGTGAAGTAACAGCAGAGTGGTCAACAAACGAAGAAAAAATGGTCAAAACTCGTTTCCGAATGTTTCAGACATTCCTAAAAGAAAATTTTAGGGCTGTGAATTTTGGTGGCGGGGGTGACGGGCGGCGGAGCTAGTATTAAACAACGACAAAACTAAAAATCGTTAAAACTAGTTCTGAATATATTAGAGCTCCCTAATCGTTTTTCGAATAATTTTTGTGGGTAGGGGGGCTGAGGGAATGTGGTGAATCTCGATTTGGCTGTGTGTTAGTTATTATCAATAAACCTTCAGATCGACTTCCTGAACATTAAATACCCCGCTTCAGAGGTAGTTCTTCTCGGTGATTTCAATGCCCATAATGAGCTTTGGTTGGGCTTAAACAAGACCGATGCAGCAGGTCGTGCAGTCGAAGCGTTCGCTCTTACTCAAGGGCTGACCCAGCTAGTGACGAGCCCTACTTTTTTCCCCCGCGTCTCGTCACACGCCAGTAGCCTGCTGGATCTCTTTCTGACCACGCATTCTGTCCCTTACAGCACTGCTGTCCTGTCCCCCCTGGGTAACTCAGACCAAGGTGTTGTGGAGGTTAGGTTTCGGTCACAACCCGCTATGGCAGCAGAAACTCGTACAGGCCGCAAAACTTTACATTACGGACATGCCGACTGGGCGGGGCTCAGGGACTTCTTCTCTAACTTTCCTTGGAGAGATGTCTGTTTCACTGACGCGGATGCCTGGGCTGCCTGTTCTTCGATAACAGAAATTATACACGTCGGAATGGAGGAATACATCCCTCACTCAGTGAAAGTGCATAAACCAGGGTCGAACGGCTGGTTTAACAAATCGTGCGACACTGCTCGCTAGCAGATCAAGACACACAGAACCTTCTTACAAAACCCCACTGTAGAGAACAGAAAATGCGACATCGAATCCAGAAACACATATAACGAAGCGGTTCGCAATGTCAAAAACCAGCACGATATAAAAGTTAGGCACAAGGTAATGTCGCAGCGCAATGGTAGTCGGTCTTTCTGGACGCTGGCCAAGCAGATTGAAAAGAACTTCTCATGCAGTAGCCTTCCACCACTTACGTGTCAGGATGGAACTATTGTATTTGACTCAAAGGCCAAGGCGGAAGTGCTAGCCAAGATCTTTGCTGCCAACTCCACCACGGACGTCCCCCCGACGCCGTCAATTCAAAGAGTTCCCTACACTATGTCGCTCGACATCAACAAAGCTTCTGGTCCGGACGTGATTCCTACCATTGCACTGAAGAGGTGTGCAGCGGAGCTTGGTCCAGTGCTTTCGTGTCTCTTCCAGATATCTTATGAATCCGGCACCTTCCCAGAAAACTGGAAATTTGCTCATGTCCAACCCATCCCAAAAAAAGGATCTAAGACCGACCCTTACAACTACAGGCCTATAGCTCTGCTTTCTGTTATAAATAAGGTGATGGAGAGGTGCATAAATCGCGAGCTTCTGGACTACCTCGAACGCCACAGCTTGATTAGCGACATGCAGTATGCATGCACCAACGATCCACAGGGGACCTCCTAGCTTACTTCACGCAATTGTGAAGTAAACTCATCCAGTCTTATGGTGATGACAGCACTCTACATGCAGGAATTCAGAGTGACAAGCCGATCTCTGCCGCTGAGCTGGAATAAAGAAGACTAGCGAGGACTCACTCTCTGACAAGAGACCTGGAGGCTATCACTGCTTGGGGACGCAACAATCTTGTACAGTTCAATGCTTTCAAAACACAGTACTGTACTTTGACGAACCAAAAAGCGTCCTAGCGCTCATCGGGTTTCGATGGATGGCCGAGTTCTGCCAAAGAGCCATCCATTTCGGCTGGTCGGGCCCAGATAACCGAGGACCTGATCTGGCACGAACACGTCTCGTCAATAGCTGCAGCTGCTGGGTTTAGAGCTAAGAAGTACTTTTCTCCGCACGATATTACCATTCTATACAAGGCACACATAAGGCCTAGCCTCGAGTATTGCTCACACGTTTGGGGTGCTGCCGCCTCGACTACATTTTCCATGCTCGATGCTGTCCAGAGGAGGGCGGTCCGACTGATCGATGACTCTTCTCTAACAGACAGTCTCGGGACTCTTTTGCACCGGCGATCTAGCCCTTTTCTACCGCTATACCAAAGGGCCCTCTTCCATGATGCCACCGCGCGATGTGCCTGCCAGACAGACCCGCCCGACTTTGGCGTCCCATCCTAACCGTGTCGAACTTCGTACATCCAAAACTGGCCGATACGACCGCTCCTTTGTCCCGAGGGAGTAAAGATTGTGTAACAATCTACAAGAGTAGTTCTACTAACCTTAGGCAGTTCAAAAATCGTATTTTCAAAATTTCTTTGGGATCATCATAGCAGCCGCGGTGTTCCGGCATTTAGGCTTCTGCCTGCGCGGCTGTTTCGATATAAAAAAAAAAAAGGTAAAAAGAAAATGTACAAGTGTACGTGCCTCTTCAGGTTTTCGATTTTGTCTCTTTCTGTAATCTTTCAACCTTAGTTAATATCCCTTCTAAATGATTATATCATTCTGTATTTTGACTGGAAATTCAATCAGGATCATCCTTGTCTGTTAAATCTGCTGGAGCTCCTATAAAATCCACGAGTTGGTTCCACCAAGTTTAGTTTTTAAGATGTTACCTGGAACAAATTATTGCATATTTTGGTTTTCTATCAAGGGACCCCTCTTCAATAAGTTCTTCCATAAATCTTCTGCCTGCGCGGCTGCTTCGATATAAAAAACAAAAAAAAAACATTTGATATTCGTTATCCTCCGGAATCTTCATACATACATGAGACATCTGAATTCAAAATAGAAAATTAGGATAAGGGCTTTATCTCATTTTACGTCATAACACGGCTCATCAAAGTATGGCAAATGTAGATTTAAATTACTTAACACGACAAATCAGTTGATTCGTTTTTATGATATGTATGTAAAATACATATATTTTGCTTCGGAAACGACAAGCATGCGGTTATAGGAGCGAAGGATACACCCAAAAAATATCAGTTTAAATTTTAGTTACGAAGGTAATCATACATAACTGAATATATAATGTTGAAAAAATAAAACCACTAAAACCAGAACAGAAGGTTTGGGATCTACCATACTAAAGATTCAGAAAAAATTGTGACATTCGCCAGCTTTAATTTAAAATGACTTCATTATTCAAGCAACAACGGTTTTACAATGAGATGAAGGGAATTCTGTTTATAAACGTAAATTTTATCACAAAAGTATGACAATGTTCCCACTTAGCAAAATAATTGTCATTAAAATTCTAATATTCGTTGAGTCATGATATCAGCTTTTCAACACGTAAATAACAGTTTATTCCATAACTCATCATTTTCCAATCGCTTTCCACTGAAAAATTTCTTAACGTTTGGGGAAGTTAGAAATCTGTTGGTGCTAGATCAAGGTTGTATGGCGCATTTTCGAGTCAATGGATTAGTTCAGAATGCCGTGCCATACAGTCCCAACAAAGCACCAATCGACATTTTTTCTTTATTTTATCTATAACAAAAAAGTTTAAACATTTCTTAGCGAAAGGCGATTCGAATGATGCATGAACCTTTCAGCATTAGATCCTTGGAAGGTAATAGAATAATACAAGCCCGAGTTAGGAGACTTCAATTGTATTATTCCAGTGTACCATTGGTGCAACATGGCAATCTTTTAGCCATTAGCGCCAACATAGTGGCGTTGTCACCACCCAGTCGGTATACACAACTTATCCGACAAATTTTAACCACATATGCACTGTTACGAAAAAAGTCGATTCCTCAAAAAAAAAAATGTATTATGTAAAAATTTCGTCTTCGGCATTTAAAACGCGTTGTGGGCGAACCCAACCCCCATCCACTCCACGTCTGGGCGCAAATCTCCACTAGCACGTGTACGTAAAACAATTGAACTAAATGTTTCGTGATGTGGTATGTGCCTATTCGGAAATCGGGGTGCATACAAATGAGAAACCGCTCGCGAATTTTGCCCTGCTTCTCCGTACGCTAAAATAATGTCCACTAACTCCTCATTAGTGTACACATGTGCCATTTTTGTTAATAAATAACTAAAAACAAACTCGCAAAATACTTTCTTATTTAACTTCACAAAAACGACCGTTTTTCATTCAGATCACCCACGATACAGATTAAACCTTATTTACACGTTCTTATCAGTATGAAAAAACAAAAAATTCCTGTTTGGTACAATAAATTATTAATGCGTGTTCTAATATCACGACGATGAACGCAAAATACAGATATTTTTTTTCAATTTATTATTGAAACTTAGGTTCACTCGTATCACTTAATTTCTGTACGACTTTTATTACATTTTTTGTTTTGAGAAATCAACTTCTTTCGTAACATATATATTCTTTCGTGCATATGTGGTTAAAATTTGTCAGATAAGTTGTGAAACACCCTGAATCCTATCCCAGTTTCAGTCATTGTAAGGATTGAGCTAAAAATCGTTGTCATGTGGCATGACCAAAGTTCGAAGTCGAAATGTGTGGCTGGGGTAGAAAACAACACGGCAGAGTTTGTTTCTAGAGCAGCTAACTTCAACTAATTTTCGCTAATTATGTGCCCAATGTCTTTATTAATTTTAATATCTAATTCAAGAATAACGTTTTATCTCTCAAAGTTTTTAAATTATTTGGGGATAAATGAAACCACAATATAACAATTTTCGCTCTATTTGAAATCATCGCGTAAAGGTCACTAGTATGTACACAGAAGTATGACAAGTAAAATATAAACTTAAAAATTAAAGTAAATAGTAAAAAACACTGTACACAAAAAATCTTAAAAGCTACACGAGATTTATATGAAAAATAAATTATACACATCTTAAATTCTAGTATTCTAGAAAATATCCTCTAAGGAAAAAGCTTTTAAGCAATCGTATTTTCCCGAACAGGATTTTAATTGCGTTTGACAGATCAACGACTCGTTTTCGAATTCTCATTATTGCACTAGACATAGTTCAAGTTCAGCAAACAGAAAATGTAAAGTATACGACATTTACCTGAGGTAGTACATTTGTGAGAACGTGTATAGTCGAGCAACTGTAACTGTTTTCAATAGATACATTCCTAGTGGTGTGCGTGCTTGAATATTTTCGGTCGGATCTATCCCATCATTTTTTTACACACTGCTTTATTGATGGGTCGGACATGCGTCATTAGGTGCTACTAATAGATTTATACATGCAACACATACATCATTGGCTACAGCTACAACAAGAACAGTATACAGAAACCGAATCAAAACTATGGTTGTCATCCAAGTCGAAATTGTCGCCAAACATGTGACCTCATACTAAAATGACAACAAAGTTGGTAGCACGAATTATTCGATCGGTGATTCAAAGCTCTAAAGACACACAACCCTGGAATGTCTACCAATCACTAGTTACAGTTACAGGACTAACAAATGGAAACAGGACAGCAACATATCTTACTTGCGACAACTTTTGAAAACTGGAAGGCTGTTGCTTGGTGAATTACATAAAATAAAATACTATTGATATGTCACCAAATAAATGGAAAAAAATGAGCGAGTAAGAATACATAATTTTTTGTCATTTTCAGTACTTCCAGTCATTTTTAAAAATAAGCTATTTTACTAACAAGTGAGACTTCAATATTTATTCAGATAAGCTATTAACAAAAATATATGAATTTCATTTCATAATTTGAGAGCCAGTACACTACTTAATAATGACACATTATAAATTATGAGAATAGCTGAAATGAATGGAGAATTTTAAATCTCTACATTTTACCGCACATAATCTTATCCATTAGCAAAGATCACAAATATATACTACTACAATTTGCTGATATATTATATTGAGATTAATTCTGGTTTATTAGGTGAAATAGTGGAAAATGGGAATATATTAAAAAACGATCATCCAAAAACGAAGAACATCTTGACCTGATGGCCACAAAGCTGGAATTATTGATTTATATAATAATGGGCCAGGATATCTAGAATTTTAGAACAAAAAATGTAATAAGTGGTTTTAGCAGGAGAGTCTAGAAGAGGCTCCGCACCGACATATACAAAAATGTTGCTGGTTAATTTTTTATATATATATATATATGTTTTTTTTTTTTTGAGAAAATGGTTTGATGAGCTGCGGTAACGTTGGATAAATCAAATGGACCCCTATTGGACTGATTCTCTTGCTAGACTTGTTCTAACATCGTACTAAAAGAAAAACCAGATTTTCTTGAACCATCCATAAAGAAACGGCAATACATCCTGAAATTATTACAGTTCTAGCTTTGAAATTATGGGTGACGACTGCAGGGCTATTATCGAGAATTCTAGCTGACTTTCCAGATGATCAATTGCATTTTTACGAATCCCTAAGCTTATTTTTCTACTCAAGTCGGTCGTGTTGGCCTCAATTTTCTTATATTTAAATAATATAATATATCATGGGTATACTGCAAGAAAAATAACCATGTCGGAAATGGACAAATAGCTGTTTTTGTTGCCAAGTGACTACAAATAATGTTGCCTCCCTCAGGAAAAATTACCCAAGTTAGTACTTTAGTATTTAATAGTTCGTATAGCCAAGTCCGTGTAACTAATTTAGCAACAAAAACATTGATCAACTTTATCATCAGTATTTTGTGAAACATATCACGTAATAGTGACCACCTTGACTTGGTCACTTTCTGTTGTAACAGTTCGATTAACATTTGATTTAGGCCTTGTACTTGATCAGTTTTGCCGGTTGAGTTTATGGCGTTTGTTTACCCGACTGCTCTACTAAATTATAGGAATGGAGTTAATTAGTTCAAATATACTCAAAAAGAGTTCCAGAGGCAAATACACAAAATTTTAATGTACTAATAATGTGGTATGCATTCCATACTCCGAAATATCTTTACATTATGCGATAAAACTTTTTGATTAGGACCTCAACAATTATGAAGCTGCAGCTTCAAATAATGCATACTGCTATGCTTGGAGTGAGGTGAATGGCAAAAGAGGTAGTTGCGAAACACGCACCGCTCTATAAAGCTGGATCAATGATATGTCAGAAAATGTGATAGAAATCAGCCTTTTTTCCTGGCACATACAAATGACTGCTGCCTAGCTCAGAAAAAAGAAAAACAATCCTCTGAAACTAGTTACAGAAAACAACAATATCACAACTGGTACAAGTCGCTCCCTGTACATACAAAGAAGGAAAAGGCCCCAGAACCAACATTTTCAGAATCCGAATCGTAGTAATGTATTTCTTCAGACTAAATAAAATTCAGTTTGACCAAGCCAGTGTTAAAATATATTTGATTTTACATCAAGCGTGACCAAGTCAGAAATTAATAAACATTTTTGAAAAGTTATTTAAAATAGTACTCTTACCTTGTAGCTATAATTCTAAATTTCACGGTGAATATTAATGAGTCTTTAGTTTCGTAAGAAAAACTCCTAATGATTTATTACACAAACGACAGCCTTTAACGGTCTTTTGCGGAAAACTACGATTTTTGACTTTGTCACTTTTTGCAGTATTATCACGATATCCTAAATATTGAATCAGAAACACAAAAAAGGATATTTCACAAAAATATCCTACATAACCTGTTACTCCGACAAGTCATGAAGTCATTTGGACTCGCTATGGTTTTGCATGCAAACTTTTGTAAGACTTTTGTAGTCACAATACGAAAATCTATATTGTAGAACAGATTCATAAAATCCAAATCTTTTATATGTATGCTTAATTTCGACTACCCGTTTAGATGTAGATTTTTCTTTGAAATGATATTTCGGCCGCCAAAGGTCCAGGTATGTTTTTTATTCACCAAAATATGTTTTTATCAGCTTCTCAGTGGTGAGCATTCTAATTACATCTGTAAAAAGACAACGGACCTATTCTGTTTATAACGCAAACATTGATCTATGCTTGCCGATACGTTTTTACATAGTTGGTTCAAGAAAATCACAAAAATACTAGGAGCCCATTTGATTTATCCTACATCGCTGGATAGCTCGTCAAAGAAACCATTTTTAATAAAAAAAATACAATTTTATTTAAAATGCTGCGGAAACTATTAAGAATTTTTTGCTTGCATTGTTTTCGATGTTATCCACTACAAATTTTTAACCTTCAGTTATTATTTCAGATTTAGCGCTATGCATTTTTTGGTAAAAAATAAATGTATAAATCAACAATGTTTACCCTTTTTTGCAGGATGCTCCAGCAAATTGAACTTATGATGCTTCATGTTAAATGTCTTTTCATTACCTACAAACCACATGTGGACCACTTTCTCCAGTACCTCATGTTTATTTAATATACCGAAAACTTTATCGCTTAATAAAGAAGTTAGCCAGCAAGATATTATGTATCTCTGGATGCGTTGACTTTCTGGACCACTCAAGAATATAATCGCACTGTAAAACCACTTATTCCAAATTTTCCTAAAACAGAGTCTACTTTAAGGTTAAAAAATAACGTATTCGATACTAGCTAGCAGTTGAAAAAGGTTAAGATCCATAAAGGAAAAAAATTGCACAGCATCAGATACCAGCAAAAAGTAGTAGAAACAACAACACATAAATAATATCAAAAACAATTTTTCGAGCTTCACAAATTTTACAAAACTAAGACGATATAAAGGCGACAAAGATGGCATTAATGGAAAGTATAAATAAATAAATTTAAAGCGTAGCTATGGAGTCCTTAACAACGGAGTGTTGTATATAATTAGAATCTTAAAACTATAAAGAATCACTATGTAAAACAAGTCTTGTTGTTGCATTATTATGTATATGATGGCGAAATTGAAAGCACTTGGTCTGTAAGTAGCAACTTCTGAAGTAACATGTACACAATCATCTGCTCTTAGGGCTTATTCATGCACGTGATTTGTGTCAGTCAGTAGGGCCACTTGGCATATGACATCAAACTTTGTTGAGCAACACTGTCACACTAAACAAAACGAGTGCATAAATGGGACTTAAAAAACAAAGAAACGACCTCTTTGTAGCTTTTCAGCAATATATATATATATATATATATATATATATATATATATATATATATATGTGGCCACTATATAACTGACTGATTTAAAATGCGCGCCATTTTCAATACACGCATTTCAGTAGGTGGTGTAGTAGTTGTTTAAAGCACAAGTGTCCAATTCATCATGGAGCGCCACACGATCCCACAATGCGTCCGAATTGTTAAAACGTTTTACTTAAATAATGAGTCGATTGTTGCACTGATTCGGAGGCTAGGACAAGATTTCGGTCGAAATAATGCCCAGTGTCAACACCATTCGTCAGTTGGTGCGGAAATTTGAATAAACAGGTGAAGTTAAAGGCTTGCCAAGGTCGGGTCGTGTTCGAACTGTTCGTACTCCGGAAAATAACGAGAGAGCATTCGTGTTATATGCAAGTCATTACCTTATCTGGCAATAGACACAATACTCATGTGTGTAATATATAACCTGCCTTGCAATTTATCACATGACTTTCAGACCACTCAAAAACATTATCATCGTAAATCTACCGTAATTACAAAAGTAAGATATGCACCAGATACAGACCAAGAACTTTTTGCTTCACCCTTTACCACAGTAATATTATAGAGGAAATATGACTCTTAACGAAACTGCTTATAGCACACCAAGCTTTGTCTCTGATTAACACTAGTATTTACAATATTTATATAGGAGACAGATTATTTGTAATACTCCAAAAACCTCTAAGGTGAATTTTCGAAATAAGTACGTATTCATTTAATAGTTATTTTTACATATTAAAATTAGCATCGAGTTTTCAAGCAAAATTACCATACATCGTCTTCCTATGAACAAAAAGAAGATGATGCCTATTTTCAACTTGTATGTTAAAAGCATTTGACATGAATGTCTGGATATCTCGTGGTTGCAGATGTTTTGTTGAACATTATCTAAAATTGCCCTTTGTATCTAGTTTTGGAGTAACTTCCAAATCAATCATATAGGAAGCGATTTTATATCCTGATAAAATCTTGACAAACATTAAAATATAAAAATGTGAGTACGGATTACATATCCATATATAATAGTTCATCAAAACGATTAATTAGTCGGACAGCTGGAAAAATCGATAGAAAGTCGTATTTCCTCTTCATCTTTTTTTTCCAAATTTTGCCACTTTCTCCTAACGTAGGGCTTTGTGACACGGGCATACTCGAACCAGATATCTAAAATAATAAAAGTTGACAATAAGTAGGATAGAGAAAAAGTAAGCTAGTAATATGCATGATGTGAGGTCACGAAGAAAGCTTTGTAAATCAGTTGGAATCTCAATTTTCTCTTTTCTTCAATTAAAACCAATTGAAAAGCAAAAGCGGACAAAATAAATAAGTAACTATTTAGTCAATACATTTGTTTCCGTTGTCATTTTCAAACCAAGTTAAGCGAAACAATAAAGTATCTAAACTGAAAAACAGAAACAACGATGTTTCTGATCATACAAAACATTCCGAGGTTTTGAAAAATAAGAAGGTGTTCTAACTAATTTTTCATTATTTGAATCTTTGCATACGAGGTCTGGAACTTAAGTAATGATACTGGCAACGTAGCGTTCCATCTGGCAACACTGGAGGCACTGGGCTTAGAGTGGATACAGGGGAACATGTGATCCGCCTTCAGTACAAGTTTCAGCTCGCTCGAGTTATTTGGTTGTCCATAGTGATTGCCATCCATTTCGAGCAAAGGTGTGCTATCAGGTTTTGCTTTAAACTTGGGCAAAGTACAACGGAAACTCTTGCTAAATATCAGCAGGCCAGGTTTTTCGGTTGGTTAAGGCATTTACAGAAGGGAGGGAGTTGATTGAAGATGAACCACGAAGCGGAAGCCCTTCATCTTCAAGAACCGATGAAAATATCGACGAATATCCACGGAATCGTCCACAAAGAGGCCAACCGATCAATCAACACTCTTACCGGGAGGTTTAAAATCAAGTAACCTTTTTTTACTATTTTGATCACTTACCAGTAATTTGAATTTCTCTCCATTAATGGTAGAGTGCCGATTCCTAGGCCAAACACTTTTTAATGATTCTCTTTTGGCAAATTTCATACTTTATCGATATGTATAATTTTACACGTATTATATATTTCTTTCTCAGAGACTCAGTATTGTGTTGAAATCTTTTGGACACTAATATTATAGTATTTTATTAACGACTATCTCAGAAGTTGCCTCATAAAATATCGTTGGTCCCTCGTAGCGTTGGTTCCGTCCATTGACAATCAGCGCCACTCTGTGATTTCTGTACATACTAGCCTGTATAGGAATATTTGGTTTCCTATCAAGATACCTTCTTTTAAAAACTTACGTGTACAGTTTAGCGCCATTTTCTTTTTTCCTGCTGAGGTATGGTGCGTGGTTCGTTTCGTTGGTAATAACTTCCAGATTCTGGGATATAACGCCCCAAACACCAGATTATGGAGTAGCATCTTTTATTTCGTACCTTACTTTTAGTTGTGTTGGTTTTGGTGCTACCCCGTCCATTTCATTATGGGATTTTAACCCTCAGCGGTAAGTTCTTTTTTTATGCCATCGGATCACGTGTATTAATGCATGTCCTGAAGAAGTTTGTTCAATATGTGTTTTCAATGAGTAGTTTTTTGTCTCAGACAGAGGGTATAGTAGATTTTTAAGCAGTGTTTCTCTCTCTAGGTTTTTTTTTATTTATATCCTAAATTTTGGAAAACCAGGCAAGCAGCCCCTACCTTGTGACGTGCCTACTACTGGACACCGGTTTTTTGACCTAAGTATTTGTGAGCTGAGAACATCTCGGCTGCGCCTTGTGCCGTAACTGGAAGAAGACCGCTATCCAGATAAGTTTAGGTTTATGCGCTAAAATATATGTAAAGCCTCCGTACATGTACCATGGTAAACGTTTCGCGGGGTTACTTATCACGGTCAAATAATTCTATTATGCGGTAGTATTACGAATATCCTTTTTTTTAACTTGCACTCCAGTGGTGGAGCTGTCTGATCCGTTAATATATTGTGATTTTTTTTTAATACATACCTTGTTTTATTTAGCTATCTGTGTACCATTAATTAGGTTTCGTCATTGCTGTTAGATTCTTTTCTTTTGTGTGGGTGGTCAAGCAAAACATGTTTCGACTAACATCTCGGGGATTTGTGGCTTAATCTGTCTCAAGTCACTGGAGCTCTCAATCCCACCCCCTACTCTCTGCTTTGTTGAGCTAGGTACTAAATTTGCACACCACTTCACAGCTGTTTTGCATTAGCTGACCCTTAAATTTCATTTGTCGTGTTTTATCAATTTATTAATTAATTAAAAAAAAGAAAGAGGAATCACACCACAATTTCCTCTAGTTTATAAAAAAAGGCATGGCATCGTGTGAGACCAAAAACATCAAGAGCAACTGGATGTTGCATCACGAGAATGCTCCTTGTCACACAGCAATGTCTATATACGAGTTTTTGGCCAGCAAAAACATTCCTGTGTCTCCTTAGCCTTTTTATTCGCTTGACTTGAGACCTTGTGACCTTTTTTCCTTCCTGAAGTTGAACCTCAAGGAACTCATTTTGGGCCAGTCAAAAACATTCAAACGGTTGTAACCGACCAGCAGAAGGCTATTCCACTATCGGAGTTCCAGCACTGCTATGAGAAGTGGGCGAACCGTCTCCAGCGCTGTGTGGCTTCAGAAGGAAGTTGTTTTGAGAGTGACAATATAAAATTGTAATTATATTTGAACAAAAAAATCTGTCTCGTTACTTAATTTACAAACCTCGTACATCTTCGAATGAAAGTAGATTTCTACTCACCTAGCATTGACCACCACTGCTCTACCTGATGAAACATGTTCGACAGAGCTCGTTGGGTCCGATGCAGTCGTCGTGGCAAAATGCGCCGCACTTCTTGCACACCACCATCGCCTTAAGGCTACACGCGCACGACACGCCCTCTGACGGTGACTTTGCTTGCTGTTGTACCGCCGCGGCGGCTGCAGCGACCGCCTTTTGCAACGCCTGTTCGACGGCACCAGGTTGCATCGCCGCCACCGGGTGGTGATCAGACATAGCGTTCTCACCACCTACGAACAAGCAGATACATATATGAATAAATTAACAATGAGCCTACAACATGACAAAACAATCTATCAAAGCTGCTGGAACTAAAACCTAGATTCGGACCTTGGACTACAAATTCCTCATCACCATGCTCTGTTTAGGACACACCCGAATCACCGATGGCTATCTCATACCCAGGAGCCAGAACCCATGTGCCAAGTGTGTGAAACTAATCTCAGTGTCAAACACGTATTAGTGCAGTGCCCTTTATTAGAATACTATACAGTGTGTCCCACATTCGCCCCTCTATACAGCGATCTCGGCTCCTGTTATACCTACAGCAAGATTAAATGGTGAAAGTTTTAGAGAAAACTTAGTGCATTCGATAGACAGATTAACAATCGGTTAATTGGTTTTGGATATATTATATAAATATAATAATAAATAAATATAAATTGACAGCTGTCAAAATGTGTCATTATTCGGACATTTTAATAAGGCAAATAAGACAGTGTGTATGACATGTCTCAATCGTCTTTTGTTTTCCCGCAACCTGCCGCAACTTTCATTTTGGATGTTTCGATTTTTTGGAAGAGCGGAAACTTTCCAGCCTAATGATGTCTCACAAGTGCATAAAAGATTGGCGTATCATCGAAATATCATCAAACGTAATGTCATATATTATTTTTTTTTCTAGGGAGGCCTTGATTTATTTGTCAGAAAATAAAATTAATAAGTAACGTATTTTTTCATCTAAGGACGCTCTGACTGTGACTAAAAATAATTCAACGTATTAAAATTGTGTTTTAATAAGTAGCAGGTACGTCTTCTCTCATTAAAATCATAAATCTGGCAAAAAAATGCTGTCAAAACCTGTTAAAATGGCTGACATTCCCTAGTCAAATGAAGAAAAGTTTGAGATGTTAGCGCTGTACTTGCTGTCACACAGAAACGCCGACATTACCTCAGCAAGGTGTGTGGAGATGTACTACGAACGTCGGCAGCATCATAAAACTCAATTTAGAAAAATAATAGTTAATTTAATAAACCGGGCCTTCGAACAACCTAGTAGCGGAACAATATTGAAAATGAAAATCGCGACAGAAACATTTTACAAGCTGTCAACGAAATCCCTAGTGCATCAGTAAGAGCTATAGAACGAGAAATTGGTGTGTCAAAATCAACAGTACAGTGTTGAATAAGAATTAGTACCATCCATACAATCCTACAATAGTTCAAGGACTTAAGGAAACTGATTTTCCCCGGCGAATGCGCTTTTGTGACTGGTATACTAGGAAGTCTAATGATATCCCCGATTTTGTAAATCATGTCTTGTGGTCCGATGAGAGTAGGTTTACGAATTGTGGAGTTTTTAATAAGCACAACACTCATCAGTGAGCTGTGGAAAACCCTCACGAAATGACAGAGAGAAGTCTACTGATCAGATTTGGAACTAACGTTTGGTGTGGTGTCATTGGTAATTTAATCTAACTTACCTTTTTTAATTGGGCACCTATTTGAAATTAGGTATTAATCATTTCAGGAAATCGACTTATAGGACCATTTTTGTTTGACTACAAGCTAAACGGTCAGAGGTACCTAGAGCTTTTGCGAAACCAGTTGTGCCGGCTTACGAGCTAGTCTAACCGAAGATGAGTTTAGAAGAACAGGATGGATGACCGGCTCACAACACCATTCAAGTCAGGAACTTCTTAAGAGAGCAGTTTGATGAAAGAATAATTTCATTAAATGGTTCAATATCTTGGCCTCCTAGATGCCTTGACTTTTCACCCTTAGATTTCTGGGGTCACACAAAGACTGAGGTCTATAAATTTGATCCTCCCGCGACCATAGAATCCCTGAGACATAGAATTTTGAGCACAGTTAGAAACATTAACAGAAATACACTAGCTAAGGTTGTAAGAAAAACAGTCACCAATTGTCAAAAATGTCTGGATGTAAATGTACGTTATCTGTAAATTAATACCCACTTACATAATTAGATTTTACATTACATTACAATTTAGTAAGATGTCTGTCTGTTCACGTGTAAAATAAATTTAAGATGGGTTTTCTGACTTGTTTTTTCAACAATCATAGTTGGGAATTTGTCCCAAAACATTTGACTTCTTGAGAAGTCGATAATGTTATATTCTATTAAAAATTCGAGCGTTTATGTGTTTTTTATGCCTTACTCATTAATGTCATTTTCTGTCAAATAAATCATGGCCTCCTTAGAAAAAACTAATACATAATATTACGTGTGATGGTATTACGGTGATACTCCAATCTTTTGTGTACTTGTGAGACATCACTAGACTGGAAATTTTACACTCTTTTCAAAAATCAAAAGATCCAATATGGCGGCCATAAGTAAAATGAAAGTTGAGGCAGGTTGCAGGAAAACAAAAGACGATTATGACATGTCATACATGCTATCTTATTTTTCTTAAAACAATGTCCGAATAATGTCACATTTTGACAGCTGTCAAATTAACCGAACTAGATGAATATCAGACTTCAGTTTTGATGAGGTATATAGAGAAGAAAAACTGAATATTCGCACATTCGTATTCGCGAATATCGGCAGTAAAAAATCACATTCGCGAATGCCTAAAACTTGACAATCGTTAAATCCACAATACATACCAATAACTGTATAATTGGGCATTGGACTTTCCATGCTGACATCACCATAGGCGACACCAGTAGGCAGGCGCTGTCTTCTTGTTACTGCTTGCGTTCCAGGATTTGGACACTGTATGATAAAATCGTTAGAAGGCTGATTTTGCAGGCCCTAGAATAAGAAAATATATTATATATATATATATATATATATATACGATTATAATATATATATATTATTATCGTGTTGTACTCCGAGATAATATGTTAGGCAGTTTATGCTTTTATATAAAACTATCTTTCTGTCCCGCGGATCCTGTAGCTTTCGCCACTAATAAAGTACCCAGATTTCCCAAGCATGCAAATTGGCTGTTAACTTACTAATGCCGTCAAAGATACAGAACGTGACGTATGAAGTTCATGGCATTACTTAAAAACAATGTTTTGTGTTAGTAACAGTTCCAAGCGTACGAAGTCACGGATAACAGCTGGTGCAAAACAAAATCGCTTGACAGACACAGGTTGTGTGGGGCGATGGTTGGCCACGCTATTGTCAGCTTGACGCTGACAGTGGAGATTTTGGAACTTGCCATGACGATGAGCCCACAGATAAAACCATGCCTATTTCCTTCCTCGGGTATCAATTAGTAATTGTACAAATGTTTACATCTCTCTGTAGTGTGTTTTAGACATGGTATACGGGATCTCATAGCATTAGAATTTGCTAGATAACAGACAAATGTAGCTTACCCGCAATAGCAGCATATGACAAATAACCCAATAACTCTATTATTTATTCACAGAATTATACTTGAATTTGTTTTATACTTGATCACTTAAGGTCTAAACACATGGGTACCGTGCCAAGAAAAAAAATCTCCTGAGACGGGATTCGAACCCGCGTAGCTCACGACGACTGATTAGTAGAGCCATAAAGTTTACCACCATGCCTTAAGCAGCACAAAAACAGACCTTTACTCATTTCTGTCGAACCAGAGACTAGGCTGTAGCCTGTTAAATATGTAGATATTTCAAAGTTATTTATCGGAATGAAAGCTAACCTATGCGCTATTTCAGACTATAATCTATCTCTGCACCAAATTTCATCCAGATCTGTTCAACCATTTTGGCGTGATTGAGCAACATTTACACTTTCTCATTTATAATATTATTAGGGATGCGAAAAGTTCTTCCACGGGAATCTTTATTATCTTTATTAAACATATATCAATCAAATAATGGGTGTACGAAGTAAAAGAATTATTTAAGAAACCGCTAGTAGAGGTAAGGAATAACACAACGTTTCGTGACACCTTGATACCATTCCTTAAAGCAAGTTTGCACTCGAAATATTCCTCCCTCCACCCTTACATAAGATCTCTTATCTGGCCAAGGAACAGATTTTACAGCCAGTCTCTAGTGAATAAGTTCACAAACACACTTATATATTGTCCAGGCTTTGCCGGATCTTCTAGCTGATTCAGTATATTATATTTCTATACGACCAGATTAATAAATAAATGAAAATTGGTATTACACAGAATACACACCTCTGGCGTAGATGGTTGCCTATAAACCGTCGTTCCTGCTTGTGGGGCCGCCCCATATTGCTGTTGCTGCTGTTGTTCTGCCCCTGTTTCGACAGAGGCAGGTCGTACGCCCCTGATTGCCGCCAACGACTGTTGTTGATGTCCATTGGGCGGAGCGCTGTTGGACCGTGGCTGCTGTCCACCAGCTTCCGTCGCCCGCTGTACCAAAATATACTGTCCACCTACACCCATAGGTACATGCTGTTGACCGCCGTTCGGTGGCATGCCTGGACATTCGATGACCTGTAATAGAGAATATTGTGTTGGATTGGCATACTATTCATATACTAATACTTCAGGATCCCACGAAATAAATTGACTTCGAAGGAATAGCAATGTTTTGCCTCCAAAAAAATATATATTTTGAGTGTTTTCACATTTTCCATGAACAGGAGTAGCTTCAAAGTTCAAACGTAAAATTTCGAACCAAAGCTGTAATGTAACGAATTCTAGCATGACGTATTTCCATGCCTTGTTCTTGGCATGCTACCCTATACTGCTATGGAAGTTGTGAAGAAAATTGCCTTTATTGTCTGACGCTGACAGTTCAACATAATATGGATTCTATCAGCTTCTAGAATATCATTTAAATCTAATTGACAGATTCCTTCGAAGGGAAACGTAAAAGATTTATTAAGGTCTCATTCAATGACGGATTTTTGCTACTCACGAGCAAAAAAAGATAAATTGCAGGGATGCAGCGAGTACTACTTTTTCAAAACACCGAGCAGTGGGTATTCGGTCAAGTGCGTGAACCGAGAATGGTGTACTAGGCCGCGTACTAGGTGGAGTGATTTGCTATGGGTAGTTTCAGTGACTGTTAGTGATATTAAAATCATATTAGTATGTTATAAAGGTCCCTTTCTCAAAATGCACAAAATCAGGAAGATGTCTTACTTGTGGATTAGAAGGACATTCAACAGAAAACTGTAGTACCAGTGAAATGTACAAATGCTGTCCAAATTGTAAAAGTGCAAACCAGGATTTTAATCTAGGATTACCTATTAATCATGGACCATTTGACAAAAATTGTGAAGTATATAAAAGGAAAATTGAACGTGAGAGGGAAAAAATTAATTATGCAAATGAATAGCAACTACTAAGCTCAGATTTGCAAGACGTGGCTAAATCAGTAAGTGATGAATATAACTCAATATACCATTTAAACATACAAGGAGTCCTGAATAATATAGATGAAGTTCAACAGTTTTTAAGATGGAGAAAACCACTTGTTTTATGTCTTACCGAAACACATGCTACAGCAGACATCACTGATGGTGAATTACAAATTACTAATTATAAAACGTACAGATGCAACTCCAACTCCAGACATACTGGAGGTGTAGTGATTTATGTTTACCACAAAATACAGATCACATTATTCGATTGTACCACTTTAGACTATGCATACTGGTATGCACATATACAGTTCAAATTATTTGGGAAACGTTATGATCTTTGTACTTTTTACCGTTCACCAAACAGTGATGCAGATACATTTTTAACGTTTTTTGAAGAAAAATGCGAAGAAATGTGGAATTTCAGAAACAATATAATACTTTTAGGTGATTTTAATTTAAATTATTATGGTAAAAGCATGAAAACAAGAAAATTGAAAGAAACCATAAACAACTATGGGTTCAAGCAAAAAATTGAAGAGAGTACCAGAATAACATCATTATCAGAGACTTTGTTAGATCTTGTTATTGTAAATTTCGAATGTGCAGGGATTAAAGCTGTACATACACCTAAAGTTAGCGATCACAGTTGGACAATGCTGCCCTTGGTAGGGCATTTTTCTGATACAAAAATTAAGAAAATCGTAAATACTAGTAAGTACGAAAAACTTGAACGAGAACTTGCTGGCTGCTATTGGAATTTTGGTGAGAATATAGAAAAAATATATGACAACATAATAGGAAATATAAAAACTTGTTTAGATCTTGCAACTGATAAAAAAGTGATTTGCTCGACAAAAAATACACCCTGGTATAACAAGAATATTAAGGCAGCTCAAAATTTGAGAGACAAACAATACAATAAATGTATATTCACAAAATCAAATGATGATTGGGAGGTATATAAAACTCTTAGGAATAAATGTGTATATGTAATTAAAGAAGAAAAAAGAAAATTCTACGATAAACAAATCGATAATAACAAGTGCGACAGTGTAAAGATGTGGAAGACTTTAAAAAGACTGATCAATTCGAAACCGCATGATTGTGTAAATAAAGTTCAATTCGAAAACGCTACCGAAACAAATTCTTTGGTGATTGCAAACAAACTAAATGAATATTTTGTGGAAAGTATTGTTGATATTGTAGGTACTGCCAATGCTGCACCTGACTATATGAAAATCAGTTTCCAGGGGGAAATGTTGCATACACTTTCAAAATTTCACAGCGTATCATTGAATTATCTAAGAAAAAAAGTAAACAGTTTAAAATCAAATAACAACTGTGCCGAAATGACTACTAAAAACGTGCTGAAAAACTGTTTCGAAATTTTGGGATATCCTGTATTAAATTGGATCAATTGTTCACTGAGAAGCAGTTCTTTCCCTGAAAATTTGAAATGCTCTACAATAACACCAGTTCCCAAAATAAAAAATTCTAAAAGATGCAGCGATATGAGACCAGTAAATGTGTTACCAGACATTGAAAAATTATTAGAGTCCATAGTGCATGACCAATTAATGCAGTTTATAGAAGAAAACAAAATTTTAGTGGAGGCGCAAGCAGGCTTTCGAAAAAAATATTCCACAGAAACAGCTTTCCAGTTGGTAACTGAGAATTGGAGAAGAGCCATAGACTCAGAAGAAGTTGTCATCGCAGTATTTTTGGATTTGAAGAGGGCATTTGAAACGATTGATAGAGACATTTTGTTAGGTAAATTGAAGGCATATGGTATAACAGGAAGTGTTTTAGATTGGTTTAGAAATTATTTGTCTAAAAGGATGCAAGTTACAAAAGTTAATGACACTATTTCATCAAAAATTGAAAATACGTTGGGTGTTCCACAGGGCAGTATCCTGGGACCACTTCTTTTTATTTTATACATAAATGATTTACCTGCCATAGTCAAAAAATGCAAAATTCAAATTTTCGCCGATGACACTATGATTTATATAAGTACTAAAAATATTCAGTCTGGTATCTCTTATATAAATGAAGACTTGAAGCTTGTCTCAAAATGGTTAGCATCTAACAGACTAAAATTAAATGCAAGTAAAACGAAAGCCTTGTTAATCGGAAAAAAAACAATGTACAAATGTTCAACTGAATATTGATGGTGAAAATATTGAATTCGTAGAAAATTTTAAATACCTGGGAGTTTTTGTTGACTCTCGATTAATTTTTGATATTCATTATGAAAAAGTTATAAATAAGATTAGTAGTAAAGTGGGATATTTATCGAGAGTTTCTGGATGTCTGAGTTCATATAGCAGAAAAATTATCTATAATACCATCATTCTTCCAAATTTCTTGTACTGTTCGACTATTCTATATTTAGCAAATAATTCCATTTTTGAAAGACTGCAAATTTTACAAAATAAGTGCATGAGAATAATACTAAATAAAGATAAATATACTCCAATTAGGCAAATGCTTAGCAAATTGAAATGGCTCAATGTAAAAAATTTTATCAAATATCTTGTAATGATATTCATTTATAAAGTAAAAAATAATATATTTCCATCAAGTCTAACTAATTTAACATCATCAAATGTCGACCATCATTTACATAATACCAGAAATAAAGATGACTTCCATTTAATGACCAAAAAGTATAACATATGCTACAAATCTGTATTCCATCAAGGGTTGATTGAATATAATAAATTATACTCGGAGATAAAAGTCCAGAAAACTTTGACAAAATTTAAAGTAAAATTGAGAAATCACTTGTTAAATCTACAATTATAGGTTGCCCAGCATTTACATCATACACCATATGGCTTGAATTTACTAGTTCTAAGTTGTTTACAATTGTTCTGTTTATGTAGCCAAATGTGCTAAATAAATCTTTCTACTACTACTCAAATTTGATTTACTTTTCCAAGAAATTATTGCACCACAAAAAAATAGTTGTGCACCTTGGACTTTTTTTTATTATTTGAGAGTCTTGCGACAGATAGGTATAAGACTTCCAAAGCTGCAATACTGAGTTAAAGTTGAAATCATATTTTGATATTATATTATTGAAAGATTTGTTTTTGATATACTTTTTAATTCTTCTTGTTACAAAACTAACATATTGGTAAGACATCAAAAATGTAATAAACATAACATCCTGGGCCTACATTTTTGTTGGAGGTAGAAAATGTGAGGCCACAAGGTGCTCAAATTTCGAAAAATTACTTGATAGAATCGTTACCATGTCACGACCATCACAAACAGTAAATTTAAAGAATATACGTTTCTAAGTTGCCTTTGGGTGGAGGTTATAAAAGAAATACAAATTAATGGATGTCGCGCAGGATCAATTTAGATTTGGGGACGAATAAATCTAAAGTATCCTACATATGAGTTAAGGTTTTTGCCGAAACCCGGCATACTCTTTATTCTCGTTACTTTTCGTCATTTTGTTCACTTTGTTTTATATTTTTCGTTGATGTTTGTGTTCATACGATAAAAGAACAAATTAGGAATGCAAATGTTGTTTGAGTTTAAGCTTTTATATAGTAGGTGTTCTATGGATTTACCGTATTTTTTATAAAAACCATTGTAGTAGTAACATCTTGTGTGAAAAAAATAAGATACGCGAATATCGCATACTAGCTTTCTGGACAAGAGAATCGAGATTTATTATAAAAATCATCCAAATCTGGCAAATAATTTCGGCTAAAATATGAGGTGCCCTTATCTATTTTTCCAAGATGCGTTAATTTCTTGGAGAATATATCAAGAACGTTTGGGAAATACATATGAGTTCAGACCATTAACCTATTTCAGATATTAAAACTATAGTGGATACCAAATAAAATCCGATGCACGTCATAGGTGATGTCATTCATAAAAATCATGGTTACCAACAGTTGACTACATTCAATGTGACATTTCTACTTGAAGTTTAAATTTCCCCGTCTCGATTCGGTTGGTAGTGCCGTGCAGAGAAATGTGAGGTTGCCACTTCTCATTTGTTGACATCAGTTGCCATTGTCCTTTTGTCGTACTATTAGTTCTTTATTGTTTAGTTTGTGAGTTTTGCGCTATTTGAGCTTTGAATCGTTGCCTTGCCAATTAAAAATTGTTCTTTTCAGAACAACAGTTACTGTGAAGTGGTGTAAAGTATCCAAAATGCCAAAACAACTTAACAGTCGATGTAAAGAGCTCATATCATTGAATAACTACCAAAATCAGGTGTTTTTATTCAGAAAGGAATTTAATTTTACAAGTTTATTTATTTTTAATGTAATGGTATTATAGTAAATGGTAGGTATATATAAACAATTTATTTTATTAAATTTATTTGCTTAAAAGAAAATGTGCAAATTCTGGCAACAGCGCACAGCTCCAGATCGATGACGTGCATCGGGTTTTATTTGGTATCCACTATACAACGTTTACACTATTAACAAGAGATCTTAGGAAATGTATGTTATATTGTCTAATATTTAATTTGTCAATATGATTAAAATGTTTTTGACATCGAACTAACATGTCTGCTGCTCAGTCAGATCTTAAAATGTATGCTGCCCGTTGATTAACAATGTTTGACTCCACACAACGATAGAGCGCCAAAACCGAGTATCATGGCCTAGAATTTTGAGTAAACAGTACTACTCACTTCAGACTGTTGCAGGCTTCCGTGGTGCATTCCACCACCCAGTGGTCCTTGATGATGGCTGGCGACCGATGATTGCGGAGGCGGCAACACCGCCATGGTGACAGGTATTCCCTGGCCTCCCGCAGCGGTGAACACGTGCCTCACAACGACAGGTTGCGTCGTTCCACCTGGACCACCGCCTACTGCCATCTGCCTTGCAGGGCCGTATGGCAAACGCTGCGAATAAGGCGGTGATATCACGGATATGAACAGAACTCACAAAAATAATTGTACACGTTCCTATAACAAATGTCCTATGGGCTTTCACTAAGGAGATGCAGGGCCCCAAACGAGGCTATTGAAAACCTATTTTTTAAGTAACTTTTAAACGATACTGCGTGATGCAACTTTTGACCACACAGTAACCAATTTGAGTCTCATATAATGAGCTCCATAGATAACTTAAATCGAGATTTCAATAGCCAGGGATAGACTAGCTCCGTTCCAACAATATTGATTAAACAATAACCTTTTTGGGAAGCTGATCTTCATGCTGAAAAAATATAGTTTTGTTTGGCAAGAAGACGTATTTTTGATTTTGATAACAAAATCGTAATCGGCGACCTGATATATTCTTACATACAAAGGGTACTATAAAAGTGTTGCAATATAATTTAACAAACGGACGCAGGAGGCTGCATGTTGAGACATGTTCATTCGTATTGACAGTGTAAAGTGCGGACTGGCATCGTGATCACGTTGTGACGTAAGGGCAGTTTTACGGTATAACTTTACGCGTGGATTAGGCATAGACCAGTGCTTAGAAGAAACGATGCTTGCATTAAAGAATGATTGTCCTCATCATACGACTATATTCAGGTGGTACAGAGAATTCCAAAGGGGCTATTTCACTCTGGAGAACGCTGAAAGGGAAGGTAGGCCGCGAACGTCAGTAACAGAGGAAAATGCTTGACGAAGACCGGGGAGTGACATACCAACAGATAGAGGAGAACTTACACCTTCATGCATCAGCAATTCATTCAATTCTGCATGACCATTTACACGTAATAAAACCTTGTTCTCTCTGGGTACCGCGTAGTCCAACGGACGACTTGCTGCCGAAAAATGATGAAAATGTTTGATAAGGGGCAATCTCGGTATGGAGAAGAAAGTGTATTGAATGTGATGGAAATTACTTTGAACGAAGTCAATAAATAAAGCTGTATTGCAAAACTTTTATAGTATCGTTTGTATAAATTTTCAAATGACTTTATTGTTTTAGATTTTGGTTCGGGAGCTCGGTTGGCCGGGTAGGTCAGAGTGTCGTGCTACCGATCAGCCGGCCGGCCGGGCCGCGACTTCGAATCTCGCCTTCGGAAATCACATTTCGAAGCCATGGATGTTGTGACGTCGTGTGTTTGTCCAAAAATTCGAGATATACGTATATACAAGATTGGATCTGGTTAATGGGACGCAATGTCCTAGTGCCAAAAAAAAAAAAGATTTTGGTTAACCTTATTGGGGATCGGCTTCAGTGTAAATCGATAGGGGCAGTATTGATGGCATGGCATGAAAAATCAGCAATATTATATTAGGGCTAGCCCATCTCTGGCGATCTAACGAGTTAATGGTTTTCCATGGACACCACCATGTGAGGTACAAACTGGCCACTAAGTGTTAACAGTTCATTCATTGTACTATACAAAACCGTTAAAAAGTTATTTAAGAGAAAACGATTTCTAGCAGCGTTCTATAGAGCTTGTATATCCGTACGACATTTTTTATGGAAACTAAGGGCATTATTTGTTTGAAAGCCTCAGAAGAAATGAACGATTTTTGGTCATAAGGAGACAAGGGACAAGGCAGTGTTATATTGAACCTGTACAATGTAGTATCGTACTTCAATGTGGAGGAAAATATAACTGGCAAACTAACAAAAGTAGATAAGGCTATTGTTATTCACAATCCATTAAGCAGCTTCATCTCAAACAATTTGATATCCCATCAGTAATCTAAAAAAATCAGATACTAACAACCCTGAACAAATTGAAAATCTTACAATGTCGCAAAGAGTGTTAAAAATATTTTATTATTCGAAATGAGCTGATAAGATGTAATAGCCAAGAAAAAAAATGAAAGCCTACTAAACTTGTCTGACAACATTAAATGACACTTTTATTTTGATATCTTACATGACCTTACTTACTTTTGCCACAAGTATTTTTCACTGTATAGAGTAAAAAATGATTTTGCGTCAAATGAAATGCAAAATTAGAGGTAAACCATGGATGCAATTAGATTAAAAAATACCTGATTAAGTATTTGTTTTCCATTAGGAACCTGTTGCTGTTTCATAACGTTTCCTGTCACACCATTGGCTGCTTGGTACACAGCTGGAGGGGGAGGCACAAATGGAGGGGCTGGTTTTCCGGCTCTCATCAACCCATTCCCAGCGCTATATTGACGCTGCATTTGTCCCGGTTGTTCGGTTGTTGTTATCGAGGCTTTCTTCGTGACGTTGTTCGTCTATGGAGAAAACAATATGCAGGATCGGCAAAAGTCATCGGGTCCCGGTATTTAATGTGCATGAGAGGTATAAAGAGATAAACAAGTATGTTAGAGCAAGCGAGCGAATGAGGACAACCTCCAAGAATATTCCAGGAAACGTTTAGATCGTCGGTCCGGAAATGTAAATCACTTCAAAATAAGTTCGGATAGTGGTCCCAGTGAATTCATTTAACTATAGATAGCTACTAGACAAATTCAACCTATTTTAGTGAAATATTTTACATAATACATTTCCATCTTGTAATGGGAGTTTATAATTTTAGAAACAATTACCTATTGTTTATGTATGTGTGTGTATGTTTATGAGCTTATAGTACATTTGTGCTCAATTGTAATAATAATATACTGTACATGCTTAATCAAATATTATTCATTATTGCATCATACATATCAGCATCTTGTCAGACTGGAGCACATAGTCTAATAGAATCTGAGTTGAAATCATTTATTGAACGACACATATACTCGTATACGCCTAATCACTTGCAGTACCAAATCATCAGAGACAAACGACTAACATTTACGCGATGCACGACGCTGCTGCCTTTCATTTCTAATGTCATGTGACAATATGACAGGGTATCGGTTTCAAAGGAAAGCTTTGTACATGACGCTTACCACAACATGTTATGTCGCCCTTTTATTGTCGCATTAACGTGGGTTCATCAGGTAAATTATTATCAGCCGGCATTTACTGTTACTTCAAACGGCTTGACATCTTGTCACCTCACTTTCCCAGGTGCTCTATTTCTTTATAAGCTTCCACGCCGACACCAAATGGAACGGCGCAGCTGATGTTTGGTTGAAAATTAAGTTGAGTAAAACGTTCCGAGTATCTATGTTCATGAATAATTTTTTTTATGGGTGCGTTAAATTTTGGTATGATCTTGCGATCATCAATGGGCGACTTTAGAGACCATTTATGCACGCGACAACGTCTTATGACAAGATCGCGTGTTTCGAAGTAGGACTGGTACACCATGTTGTACGACTAAAGTCAGCAGTACTGCCAAAATCGATATCAAACCAACAGTCCGTGTCGTCATCTGTTGGCAGCGCTGAACAACGTCATTCGACAGAGACAGATCAATAAAGAAAATCTTTCTAAACGCGCGGGTCACAAATCACGTGCATAAGCGCGCTGTAATGCAGTGGCCATGACTTGTGTCTTTTGGGATAGCCACTAACCCATAGTCAATCTATCGGTAATCTGACATACCATGATAATTACTGGGTACCTATGATGCAGGCTTTATACCAGCAATGGAATGATAACCAATAAAATAGTTCAATTCGTGGGAGCAGCATGTATTGCATTCGTTTTGCACCCAATCTCAGATACGCTGACCTTACTTCAGAGAGTTTAGGTTATTGCAATTTCTTTTTACCAAAACTCTATAACTCATAATGGTCTGAAAATTTACATGAGTCTCCCTGTTGCTATCAAAGGAACTAACGATTTAAAGATATTCGGCCGTGAAGTTAAAAGTAATGTGTAAACCATATTATACCATGTGTGAGTTCTATAATTCACCTACTTAAAATCCACATATGTCATTATTTTATACTTTAGTTTTAAGTTAGCTTTGTCATTCAGAATTATCTATCTTAGGCGGTATAATTACGTCCATTATTATACATCATAGGGAATGAAATTACAATAACAGCTTATTGTTACCTGGTGAGAATGCTTTAGTCTATGGTGTTACCGATCCGAATGTTGTCGGATCTATGTAATTTGCAAATTGGGTGCTGGGAGTCCAGTTCGAATCTCTTCGTTAGGCAAGTATCAGCAAGCAAGTCCATGTTGCCATTTATAATATCTACGATGACCGCCTGTGTATTACTGGTGGTAAAATACTGCATTATATTTGAAGGATCATTTTATATTCACTAGTACTAATTCAATATATCTATAAAACAATAATTATGCGTCCAAAGAAAATGTTCTCAATAGATGGAAGCACGAACTACCTCGTATGAATGTTATTACTGGACAAAAACTCTTTTGACATTTCTGTGTGACAAGGTGAATTATCGTGATGCAACACTCAGTTGTTTTGATCTGATGAACGGTGGTGTGAGTCAAATTTAAATATTTCCCCGATCCTTCTGACTGTCAACCGATGACCTGTACGCACAAGATGCCGGATTCTGTGGATATTTTCATCGGTTCTTGAAGATGAAGGCCTTTCGCTTCGTGGTTCAACTTTAATCGACTCTCTCCCTTCTGGAAAACCATCGAAAAAACTGGGCTCTTGACAAACACTATCTCCATAGGCCTGTTTAGCAAGAGTTTCCGTTGCACTGTGCCCGAGTCTGAAGCAAAACCTGATAGCAGACCGTTACTTGACATTCCTATCAGTCATTTTTAGAACACGATAGAAAAAACTGTAAAAACTACGGACCACCAGCGACAAGAGCGAGTTCAAACTTGTACTGGAGGCAGGTCACATGTTCTGCCCTCAAAGTCCGGCGCCTCCAGTGCTGCCAGATCGAACGCAACGTTGCCAGTCTCATCACTTAATTTACAGACCTCGTAGCAATAATATATTTTGAGAATATAAAAAAACAATCATTGCTAAAAGTTTTTTGGTTACTGTTTATGTATGTTACAACTGAGACAAGACTACAAAAACACGCTGAGAAAAAGCTTTCGACAACAAGACTGTATGGCGTTATAAGAGCAACATCGTTTTAAGAAAAATTTGCAAGCATTGGTTACCTGTGCAGCAGCCAGAAGTGAAGGCGGCGGCTTCAGTTGACACCTAAGCTGGTCCCGATTCGGGCTGTTCTGTATGACCGCCTGACAAATCTGGTAGCTGCGTTCGAGGTTTACCGCACCCGGTGGCGGTTTGTTGGAAGTGTTGCCACGTCCGCTGCGACCACTTCCGCCACCAGCGCTGCTTCCAGTACCGCCCTTAGGGCGTGCCTTAGTACCGCTACCCGTCGCTCCGCCCCTAGAAGGATATTTTCTGATCGGGTCGCGAGGTTAGACGATGGTGAAGAAGCGGAAGCATTTGTGTTTAAAATTGAGAACAAGAAATCAGGTATGCTTAGAAAGGAAAACGTTTAAATGAAAATGAATAAATCAAAATTTGAAACAACATATAAACTATTTTCCACCGTACCTCAAGCATATTATGATCACCGCCTCTCGCTAACTTTATACTGTTGGTAATAGTGAATCTGTTGGCATCTAGTATCGCATCAGAAATATATTCAGCAAGTATTGGATAAACTTTATTTAATTCTTAGCTGACTTGAAATGTTAATGTCGTGGTCATATCGTAAAATTGGACAGTTCAAAAAAATATCGAGCATTTCATGAATTGATCATTGTCTATTGACCAGATCCTCATGTGGGTTGACCAGATCAATGATAACAAAAGGCTCAACGATATGATCAATTAAACACGTGGCTACTTGATGAAATTGTCAAGCATGTTTGATCAAATCATAGAATATTTAGCGGCACGTTGTTTACATTTCAACATGGCAGTCGATAATAACGTTATTTTTGGAAGAAAGTTCAATAATACTTTACGACATAAAATTACTCGAGTACTATGCGGGTCAAGCAAGTACTGATCAATACGTCAGAAAGCAGTAGAATTTGGAGCGTGTTTCATAGGTTAGTACTTCATTCTTAAATTGCATTATCATCATTTATTTATTTGAAATCAAAATTGTCTGCCAATTGTCTGCTTGTCCACTGAACTGTAAAACTCATCGTAATTTTTATTTCATATTTAGGTTTTACGTCAAATAAAGCAAAGTAGGGTGACCACGCGAGGTAATAACTTAATTTGTGATGTCTGATATGTTCAAAAAATTAATTTGTGACGTTTTGTGCAACTTAAGATTGTTTTAATTTAATTATTTTATATTAATTTACTAAAGTTACTAGTTTTAATCAAAATGGTTGTCTAACTTGAGAAAAATAAACGAGTTTGTAACATATTCTGCATTTTTATTATTCTATATATGGACACCCGACTTTATAATATGATCAATCGTGGTTGACCAAATCGTTAAACGTCGACGATTCAACGATATTGTCAAATTTAGTAGGCCATATCATGAAATTCATAGATTCCACGACATGGCCACGACATTAATATCATCATTAGCAGTCAAATTGATTGCTTCGTTCTTAACTGTTTATCAAAACTGTCCTAATTAGTTTAAGCAAAATAACGCGCAGACATGCATCAGCATCGTTGGAAAGTACAAAGCAGTACGAAGTATGCCTCTGTCATTTGATAATATCGCGTAGTTTGAATGTCAACAAACGTTCAACGCTTTGCGGTGCTTTGTGGTGTCGTGAAAAATATGCTGTGGTGTAAGCAGTGAATCATACAGAGATCAAATATATATTATGTAAAACAGGTTTAGCTTTTTTATCTGTTTTAGGAGAAATGTCTATTGTAGTTTTGTAGATAAGAATTTTTTGTCATACATGAGCGGTAATGGCGACAAAATAACAAATGTCTTCTCAGATGCCCACACATTTCTGGCCATGCCTTATCACAGCTTAAAATGCGTAGTGATTACTGGCTAAAAGTATCTACCAGTAGATATCAGAAGAAGAACAGGGTCTTCTGATTAGCCAGTTTGAATGAATCTCTTCTGTTATAGCTCTACCAGGGAGTAGTTATATAAAGAGAAGTGACTTTGTGAACTGTTTTTATAATCCGCTGGTTGGATCTGGTGACCTTGGGTTTATTCTGCATTATAGTAGGAAAGCCGATCGCAAATTTTTTGTCACATCATCAGGTACTGATACGATTCGTTGAGGTTTGACCAGTTTCATTATCTTATCAGTACGCGATGTAACCAAAACTTTGCTTTTGGACTTTTACTATTGGTTTGGCGATTCGCACTTACGAACCCAAACAACTAAATATTGGGAAACCTTTACATTTTGTCCAAATTGTCCTATAAAATAACTGAACAAGATTGTAAACTTCTACCGAAAACTTTTATTCGTATTACTTACATATTGTGGCATATTTTCAATAGTATCATCTGTTTTCCTTGATAATTAATTTTGATAAAAAATAAACAAACTTTACAAAAATATTTGGCAACTAATTATTCAGACGCTACAAAATTTAACTTAACTAATAACTTGTTACGTCGCCTTTCGCCTTAATTACCGCCTGAATATTTGCCGGCATCGTCTCAACTAATGCTTGGCAGTTTTCCCGTGTAAGTGTATTCCAAATTTCTTGCAATTTCACACGCAGTTTAGGAATGATGCGCCGTCCCGTTGATAAATACAGTCTCCGTCAGGATATAAGTCTAATATGGTAGGTAATAATGTATTCTCAAGGATTTCTTGGTATTTAGCTGCATTCACTGTGCCATATATAAAATGAAGACGTCCCATTTCAGTTGCAGACATACAGCCCAACACCATAATACCTTTGAGAAATTTTACTATACGTTTAATACTGACTTTGTGAAAGGTTTCAGTTTTGCTTCTGATAACCCTTTGTCGGTGATCGTCTAGGCATCCATCGAATTTGGCTTCGTCACTATATATGACCTTGCTCCAGTGCTCGTACGTCCAAGAGCGCTTTGATTTTGCCTAATTAGGCGTCTTTGTTTTTGTACTTCAGTTATACGCGGTTTTTCTTTAGCCTAATTAAGGAAAACATTTTTTCATTGCTTTGGAATTATGATATCATAATGCATACCTTATAAAATTTGAGTCCAGATTTACGAATATATTTTCGGCAGCATTCTCGTGAAATCTGCATCCCACACTTTGTGTTCCAATGTTTGGTAAATTCCCTTAAAGTGTTTCGCCTACACCATTTGCAGATTTTGACTAAACCTCTTACAATCTTCGGTCAACCTGGACTTTAATCGCGGACATCAGTACTTGCAGTTTCCCTACACTTTTTACCGAAACTGCAAATTTAGGGATAACAAGATCACTTGATATTTCGCGTATTGGCTTTCCTTTACAAAACTTCTGAATAATAATTTGCCTCACTTTCTGATTAGTGGCTACACCTCATACCACTTTTGCATAAATGTAACTTATAAACAAGAAAATATAATTTCCAAATACCTACAATGTCCAACGATGTTGACATTCAGATTGTGATACAGGTAGGCGCTCATATATTTTTGCAAAGCCTGCTAGTCTCTGCTTATCTCTAATGATATGTTTCTTGACCTGTCCGAACATTTAGTTATCATATTTCGAGATATTTCAGTGATTCTGTTTGTTTTAAATACATTTGAAAATAGAGGTGTTGATATTGAAAATAGATGTTTATTATACTTATCTACCATAATACATTTTAGCCATATATTTGAAAGCAGCAGTTAATTTATGGATCCATTTGTAGAAAATGTAAAGGTGTTCGAATATTTTATTGTTTGGGCTCGTAGATGCCTCAACATTCTGCCAAGGATCCAAGCGTTTCGCTCATACGTACAATGTACATGTACCGACGCGATGTTGCCAAACTGACATAAAATGTAGGGCTGGGTTTGAATATGTGGCTCCAGCAGGACGGAGCAACTTGTAATACAGCTAGGGAAACAGTGAATCTTTTGCGAACAATATTTTCGGTACGTTTAATTTCTCGATTTGGTGATGCCAACTGGCCACCAAGGTCACCGGAATTAACGGCTTCTGACTATTGGGGTTTTTGAAAAATATGGATTATGCCAACAAACCAAATACTGTAGAGCAGCTGAAAAACAATATTACGGAAGCGACTGAAAATATTCCTCACGAAACCTAACAAAAAGTGATAGAAAATGTAATCAAGAGGGCTCAGATTTGCATGGCTTCTAGAGGCGGAAATTTGTCTGATATTATTTTTCATACATAATTTTTAAGTTTCAATAAAAGATAAAGATGAAAAAAATTGACGTATTTTATTTCATTTCACAAATATTCAAGATATTAACCTCTCAGTTACATATCGACCACCCTGTATAAACTTCTTTACAATTAAAAAATAGATGTAACAGGGCTGCAACAACAATTTTGTGAGAAAGTCAATCCATAAGTGTATGATGTGTATCAGTTGGCAATAAAAGCAAAAGAAAAATGAATAACACTCACCTGATAGCTTGTCCCGGTGTAAGCGCGAGATAGGGCAAAGCACTCGAACTTTGTAAATGAGTAGGTCCTCCTAATCTACCACCTTGGGACTCGTTCATCAGCGCTGCCGTTGTTACGTTATTATTGTGCAACAAAGGAGCTGTCGTCACAGCTGATGGTAGGCATACTATTGTTGTTGGTGGGATCACAGGTGTCATTGTCTTCGGCTGAATATATAGACGACATAATTTAAAACCCTTATTTTAATACTCAATCTGCTTTAACGATGCATCAGGAAGCAACGCCAGGGCGTATTTGAAAATTTTATAAAATGCTGAATGTTCAACTAATCATTACTCATTAGTATTACTAGTAGTAGTGAGCGGAGACTAAGTAAAAAAATGACAATAAATGATAGAAATTAATAGCTTACCCTGTTTTGTGGTTAATAATAGTATTCTTTGAAACCTGTAGGCAAGTTTCGGATGATAGATAAAATATCTTTTTGGATTCCTCTTGGCAAATATAATATGGACATTTATTCGATAAATCCAAAGATTCGTCTGTTACTACGTTATTGAATACAGGATTTTATTACTTGATAATGAATGGCGGATCTCCAGCAACTGTTTTATATTAGAAATTGATGAACTCTTAAAAACACGTGGGTGAATATAAAAGATACTGAGAGAGTTCCTTGTGAATCCTTACCACTGTAGAGGTGATGGTAGACCCTACTCCATTTCCCCCTACCCCGCTGCCAACCGTGCTGGTGATCATGCTGTCCGAGGTAGCGATTTCCGGGGTTAAGGTCACTTCTAGTTCCAATTTGACCTGTTGCTGGTGGCCGGTAGCCGGAAATCCACCCCCGTTTTTCTTGTCCCGCTCTTTATCATCCGTCAGAGAGCCATCGCCGCTAAGGGAGTGAGATTCGCTTAGCGCTTCACCCCCACCATCTTCATCAGTCGACGTCAGTGTTGTCGCCACCTGATCACAATCTACGGATTATTTTGCTGGTCTAGTTAGGTTGAATATATATTTCGTTTGAAATGTGTCCATTTTGCATTTTTTTCGCCATTGGACCTATGAGGAAGTAACGATTAAAATTAACATTTTGTCAAGCTGTAGGTTTATTGTATGTCCGAGTTAAGGTTTGCAAAATTTTTCAATAATCTTTACATGCTTGATGATCATTTATATAGGTTTTGGTATTTGTGTCTTGGTAAGCTATACAGGCTGTCCCGAAAATTGAGACTTTCCTTTTCAGAAACAATTCTGACTGAAATGACAAAGCCAATGTATGCGATCAAACAGCAGCGAAACAGTAAATAACACATTGAAGGGAACTTTATTAGATAAAGAATTATAAGTACTGACTTGACACATGTTATGTGCGTAAATACAGTTTGAAGTGGTCGCCGTTCGATTCAACAACAAAAGTTTGTTAATTCCTGCCTTTTTTGCAACCGTCGGGGCTGTATATTATTCATACAAATCTCAATTTACTCCTCGTCAAAACAAACATCAGCGCGCGACATTCAAATTTGCGCGCTCCTAATGGCCAGCGAGCTATGAACACCGGCAGCGATAAGCAAATAGAAAAAGCGATCGGTAGGTGTGTTACGTATCTTGAAAAGTGACATTGTCGTTTTTTGACATTATATACGTTTTTTGAGCCATTCTGTAGGTTTTTCTACAAAATGTCCACTTGATGTGCTATATCTTTCGATCTGATGCGATGTAAAATCTGCTTCAGAGTTGGCATTATTGAAAGTCTAAGCTGTAAGTTGTATACAGCTGTGTGCTAATAATCTGAGTTGATGATAATTCAAATGATTTCTTGTTTCAAATACACCTGAGATGTATGCAAAGCTAGAAAATAGTTGCGCATCCACTTTTTCTTATTCATCCTGGAAATTACATATGCAAATTTGCTGGATTTCAAAAATGAGAGAGATAAAAAAGAAAATCCCTGGTTGGTGAAGTATATTGCAACTAACACGAGAGAAAATAGGCTATAGATAGGAATATTTATGAAACGGTTTTCACATTGTACATTATTTTCTATTTCCAGTATTTTAAATTTTATAGAATTTTGTTTAGCGATGTCAAGTGTATAATAAAAATCATCGTCTAGATGTGAGGCACTATGAAAATGTTTTGTATGTGATGAGTCACTCCTAATTTTTCTGTGATGTGAGTTTAATTACGCGGGCGCGGTGGTGATTTCCCGTAATGTTTCTCAAAGTTTTTGAAAACGCAAAAACACCTGGAAGAATAGTAATTTATAACTTTGATCATACCCTCTCTTCATAAAGTTCAACAGAAATTACCCGTCTGATACAGCTAACAGATATACCTGATGAGTAGCATATTCAGTTATAATTTTCCCACACAGCATATATTTTATACACATGCAATGCAAACTAATACACACAAACACCACTATCTCGGCATTCTGCAGCCAACAAAGCATGATGGGGAGCTGAGTTGCAGTTGGTCTTTGAGCATGTCGTTGAGTCATTCCTCCACAGATGATGCTTTTGGTGACGCTCACAGCACTCGTAGCGAGCATTAGCGGAATGACCTATTTGCACACTATAATCTATCTGGTCAGCTAGTTGACATTTTGTCGTTTTTTTTGACATTATAAAACTTTTCTCACGTAATAACCCTGCGGGTGTCTATGTTTGTCTTGACGCATAGTAAATGAGGTTTGAATAGATTATAGGTCCCCTACTGTGTCCATATTGACGGCCTATGAACCATATAAACGTAAAGACGCGACTCGCACCTGATTTGGATACTGACACACATCGTAAAACAAAACATACTACCTTTTCACGTTGGATACTGGGTCGGGTTGGCCCCTTACGAATTTTTCGGACTTAATATCTCGGTTACCTTAAGGCTTTGGTGTTTGTATTACTAGGAAAACTTGGTTATTTTTGCATGGTTTATATACTCTGTACAGTCTCAACTTTGAGGATTGCCTGTCTGCTTTAAGAGCACTTAAAGCACACAGTTTTATTTCACTCAAATATATACTTTAATTACTTTAGCTTATACATGTTTGCTAAGGAAACGTGTGGATACAATGTTTTTATGGAGCAACCTGTACTATTTTAGACTTCTGAATGAGTCAGCTGATATAAGGTATGTTTATTGTATTTACATCCACATTACGATAGCACTAATAACAAATCTAAGTGATGATAAATAGATAATTTTATGAAATTCCTAACAGATTACCTACTATATATTTAATAGAAGAAAAAAAACAAAGAGTACGTGATATTTTTAGAATACGATTTATCCATTTTATCAGAGGTTTAAATACATAAAATATGCACAATATGATATTCAATAACAAACTTCATAGAAACACCATTTAGAACAAAGGTTCATCGAGGCTGTGTGGCGTGTCTGCTGCATCAGTGCTTCTGAAAACCCACCTCCACCCTCTCCATAGGTCCCCAACCACCACAAGGGGGTGTTATCCAAACTTTAAGAAGCATTGATTTAGAACATACTAAATTATTTTGAATGTGGCATGAACTACCTATTTTACAAAAATTATTTTATTTGATAATTAGTGAAATTGCAAAGCGCACTGTTTCAGATCAGCAGAATACTAAAACTCATAAATACAATATACGAGATATTTATTGAAAAACGATGTCAAATTTCGATAATGTACATACACTCAAGTTCCATTTCATATGCTCTGTATCATGTCGATAAATAATATCTTGTCATCCTTCAGACAAATAAAGTATTTTTATAATAGTAACTCCATAGCGCTTGATTAATAGAACATCGAACAATACCTAGATAAATCGACTTACCATATCAGAGTCCATATGCATCGCTCCAGCCGTCGCAGCGGACGCGTATGATCCCCAGTCAGCCAAGACGACGGGAAATGTGGCCTCCTCTAGCCTCACTTCAAGCTCCTCCCTCATAGGGATCACACGCACCTGTTCCTCCTCGTTATCTGCCGTCACCGGCTTCACGTCCTGTTCATGTACTTGCTGTTGTTGTTCAGACTGAAGTTGTTCTTGATTTACTGCTACTGCCACCGCGGCCGCCGCAGTCTCTAGGAGTTTCTCGGTGCTCGAGTCCACCATACCCCAACAGCACTCATCCGACACTGTGAACAGGGATAAAATAAGGCGTTGTTTGGTTATACTGGTCGACCGGTAAACGATAATGTTCATACAAATGATTCTCGATAAAAAATCATGGCAATAACACAAGACTACTGATTTGTCTTGGGTACTAAAGTGCACCATTCCCCAACAGCACTCATGCGACACTGTGAAGAAGGATGTGAAGCAGAGTTCGGTTACACTGGTTGACCGGTAAACGATATTGTTCACACAATTGATTCTCGATAAAAACTCAGCGTTAGTAGCACAAGACTACTAATTTGTTTTCGGTACTAGAGTGCACCATACCCCAATAGCATTCATCCGATACTGTGAGCAGGGATACACAGCTATACTGGTCGACAGGTAAAAGACTGCGAAGTTTATTTATACTAAAAAGAACCATAACGCTAATAGTCAAAGTCTATTGGTTTGTTCTCACAGTCAATACAATTAAAGCCTTGCAAATTGTTAGTCAGTTGTACTCTGAACACGTGGGACTGTGGGTATGTAAACAGAGACACAATTCCTATATTTTTTTAATATCTGTGTGGTAATTTGAAACATTCAATTATATAGAGGAATTCCTCCACAATCTTGTTTGACTATTTTCTACCGATTCTAAAATGCCTCCACACATTCTCATTGAAAATTCATTTTAATGTTGTAATTATTCCAGCAGTAAATTTTCTATGTCTAAACTTTCAAAAGACAGACATGTCCAAAACTGCCTATGCTATCAGATAACGCTTTTTGTAAAGAGGTAAGTAACAACCTTTATTTTAGAAAGTTCTAATTTTTACAACAACAACAAGCAAAACTTGGAGGCAGCAGCTCGCAATAAAAGAAAAACAGATTCAACTAAATTAATTAAATTAAATTTAAGCATTGCCAAATCTCATATGAATGACATGTGCTTTCTTGAAATGACATACAGTCTCTGGGTCTTTTGTACATGATTCTTTTCATTGTGCACACTTTATTGGTTTTAATTAAATGAAAATTTCATTGTTTCTCCGCAGTGGTGCAGCTAAACAATTAGGTGAAGAAGAAAAAGGACAACTTCAATAAGGATAATTTTCATCTATTTTGCATACCCGACTACACAGCAATTGGCTACGCTATCATTTTATTTACGGCAGGGCTGTCCAACATACGGCCCGCGGGCCGCATACGGCCCGCGAACTCCTTTCTTGCGGCCCGCTTCACGGGTGATGTATACATCACAAGTATAAAATACCGAATATGCATATACCTATTGAAACTCAGTAGTAATGTTGTATAGGAAGATTTTATAATGCGGCCCTCCAAACTGCATTTTTTTTTGAATTGGCCCTTGGGCCACATTAAGTTGGACAGCCCTGATTTACGGAATTCTCCATAAGTATCTAAGACTTAATCCAACTTACACGTTTGTGTAGTTTTAACCTACGATAGAACCAAGTAATCAACAAAAAGTTTTGATAGGCGTCAACAATTATTTATCTACTGATATATTACCTGCTAGCTTTATGTGCAGGTTAAAAAGAAGACTGCAGCAATATCTGAAAGTCATCATAGAATAACCTTTCTTGTCTAAGAACGTCGTTCTGACTAGTTACATAAATCATAAATACGAATTCCACCCGAACAACCTCTTTTTATCGGTTTTCAATCCTCCTAATCGGACGCCTAAAAAACGGTTTGGCGAATGGTAAAATTGTTATGACGATGATTTCATACAAGTCGAAATAGGTATTTATTTTACACGTGACAGAATTCGTCACTAATAGAAGTCATATTTTCAATAAGAAGCAGTATAGTCCGCTGTTTAGCAAACGCTGAAGGAGAGATCGTTTAGGAAACATAATAAATCCGAAAAGGGTAATATAGAACACAATTTATGTGTAACACCGTAACTCGATACCTTTGTTTATAATTTCGAACTTGTATTGCTACTGGTAAAAGGTCCTAGTTGTACGGTGCAATTTGCTCTGCAAATAAACAATGCATTTGTTCGCAAAAGAATAACGCGTCCAAAGTCCATGTAAAATATGCAATATTATTTATGCACGCACATTCGACAATACAAGGTGCAAGGGTGATAGTAGAAATTCACCACACTTGACTGTTGCCGACATAGCATATCCAGTGATCCGTATTACCACTATCATTGAACTATGGGTAACCTTCAAATGCAAATGATATGAAGAAATATATAATAGATACTTGCAAAAAATTTTAACAACTATTTACCTAACTGATACGAATGCCAACGTTTTTTGCTTTAGGGATCATTTTGTGGAAGAGGAAACGGATGGAGATTAGTTCTACGAAAAAGCGATATTTCGATGTAATAATTTAAAAAAAATCCTGTTCAAATTACAAAGTTGTAACTGTAAGAGACTGTTTGATTGAGTAGCAAATTAACCTTCTAAAAATGGATTCTCTGGAGTTTCTTTAAATTAACAATGAAGTCTATTTACAATAGATAATAGAAGGTGGATTCCTCGGGTATGGTTTAAATTTGCAAGATGCACGAATAATTCTCACCATTCTCGTTCCATCCATACATCCTAGATTTGTACTTTATTGCATGCTTGTTTATGTTTGCATGAACTGTCAGGCTCTTGAGTACATTAGTACGTTCAAGGAGGAAAAAAAATAGCATTTCAGAAAAAAATTAGTCAGAATAATAAGAGTAAAAATGAGAGGAAAAACAGTCCGTGGACACCCTGAGGAGTTATTCGAATTAACCACAAAAAGAATTCTCTGGGACATTTCAACACGATATATGACGACAATTTGACATGAACAGTCAGTTAACAGATGTTTGTCGTACCTTTTCGCTGTTTGCAGTATGATGAAAAATCAGATGTAAAAAGAATACACATACATGGTTCCACTGATGGTTGTCGGTTGGCAATATGAGCTATTTTGTTTAATCACTAAAACTTCAGCCGTCGTTGGTTATTGCGTCACATCCTGCCAGACTATCCGAAAGTGTTAATCCCCACTAATATTTAAGTGAGAAAGTGTTGATATTTGTTATTCAATCACGACCAAGTGGCTGGATCTGGATGTAATTTGGTATAGAGATAGATTATTCACTGCTCAACTTGATTAACGGAGCTCTTATTTTAAAATGTGTTTTAAACGCTTTAAAGCGCATCGCAATCGAATAAAGCGTTCATGGTCTAGCGCAATTAAAATGCCTAAATGTCCAAAAGCAAAAGTTGCAGAAATCTTCACGTAAATTTTCCCCTACAATTCAACGTGCTAAGAAAAACTTTCATCGTTTTTTTTTTGCCCTTAGACGACTGAGAATAGTCAACAGGACATGGCAGTAAGTATTTTTGAGGCTACTGATATTTTCAGACTAATCTGTAAGACAGGGACAATATGGCAAGTACCTGAAATTGATAATGCCGTCTTCTATGTTTTGCTAAATTGGGCCCCCTGGGGACCGATATGGCACGAAACTTCTTAAATCTCAAATAGCATAAATTCTGTAGTCTTGCACCTTTCATACCCCGCCTGAGGTAGCAGTAGGAGTTTGTGATGAAGTAGAGTGGAGTCTTCGTAGTTTGGAAACATTGCTCTAGCTCCTATGTCACATTTGTATCAGTCAGAACAGTTTTCACTGCCTATGGCCGAATTCATAATAAAAAAAAAACCGTCAGGGGTTGGGGATGATGCAGTGGATTTTCATACTATGGCGACGATGAACGATTTTTGAAAAGCTGAAACGTAAAGGGTTACCTCTCAGAACATGTTTTCCGATAATTATGAATCTGTGTACATGTTCACAACACGTTGTTTCGTGGTTCATCCTTTGAATCGCAAAGGTGTAAGAAAAGGGACACAATGGGGGCCCAGACGTCAGATACGTCGTTATGTCTATACGATCGGTTAGAGCGAACATTATAATACCAGAATATCATAAAATAACGAATTGTAGGGGACAATTCACGTGAAGATTTCTGCAACTTTTGTTTTGCGACATCTCTGCGCAGGCACCATTTATTCGATGGCAATGCGTTCTAAAGCATTATGTAGAGGAAAGTTGAGCTGATTATTTGCCTCAAAACTGCATTCTAATTAGACAAGCGGTAGTGCTAAAATAAGTGAACAAAAAAGTGACCCGCTAATTGAGTTGAGCAGTTTAATATAGAGTAGCACACAGGCTACTTGTTATCCAGGAAAATAACTTTGAATTATCTATTTCACGGGCCACAGCCCAAGCGACTAAATAGAATTTGACATGAGGTGTCGTGCATTTACTGGATTTCAACATTCGTTGACTTAGCGTGATCGTCTTCATTAAGATTAATTTGGTGTTTTGCTTCACTTCAAGTGTAATAAATTATTATTGGATTATGACAGCTGTGTTCTATTGTTATTGTATTTTAGTAAGGTTGTATTTGTGGTATGCTTATACGTTTAAAATACTATTCTTAGTTCGCTCTATTGTCATTAAAAGTCTCGATCGATGAATATGAAATTGGTTTTGATTTACTGGTTTCTTATTTGGTTTACCTTAGGTACACCCTATGAATAAATTGTTATTAAGTTAGTTGCATGCTTTGTGTGCTATTGTAATTAGTATGTAGTTAGATTAGTTATAGTTATCTCCTTAGATTTGTTATTTGTGTGATTTATTATTACTTGGTAGTTTTTTAAATGCTCGGAAATCTGAAATCTAATCTTTCGCAGACGAGTAATAAAGCTCGGGCCGAAAAATCTGAACATTTACGCAACAAATAAATACAACAAAGTTGTTGAGCAAAACATTAAAATGCATGATAAATCAATGGACAACTATACGTACAATTGTTACATTACTATAAGAATACACGTTAAGATAAGTCATACAGGCAATGAGATACTTATGTCGGGTTCATGCACGACTTAACGTAACCGAACTTAAGGATCAGCTGTTTCTACACCAGTGTCCTCCACATGTTACGCCTCCAGAGAGTAACTAGCTAGTGATTTCCAGTGGTGGTCAAACGTTTTGGTG